CACTGGGTCCAGGATTCCTCATGGCTCCCAGGGACTGGTTCCAGGGATGAGGCCTTCCAGGCCCACGCAGCCACACCTTTGCCTGGTTCCTGCTGTCCAGCTGGCTATGTGGCTATGTGGAAGGGGGAACTTGCTGGAGAGTTCTGTACGGAGGAGCTTTCAAGCAGTGCCAATCACGGCACTGGGCTCATTAGCAGTCATTGCCATGGCAACGGGGCTGCCAGAAAGTGGCTTGTTAGGCAGACAACTTCAGACCTGTTATATATAGATCTGGGAGTGGGGGTGTGGGGCCGGATGAATATGCCTTTCTTTAGAGCTTCTATTGCTTCTGGGTTTGGGGTGTGAGAAGACGCTGTACAGGGGGCTTTAAAACTGTCTGATCTGGCTGCTAAATCAAGTGTCTGACAACCACCCGTTAACATCGGCAAGTAACGTTTGCTCACACCTGTAGAAGGTAAGAATCAGGTGCTCCCAGAAACCTCCTGAGAGCGGAAGAGCCCTGGGTTGAACTTGAAGAGTGGGGGAGACTGGGGAGCTGGGTGTGGGGTCGGCACAAACTGGAGCCTGCACAGACAAGGCTGAGTCTCTCTGAAGATCATCCGTCTGAAGGCTTTGTGCTAGGGGACAGGATTCTTTTCATTAATAAGTAGCTGTGTAGCTAAACAACTATCTTCTTATAAATTGTGCCTATTAAAATTTTATGTTCCTGGTTTTAATATCAGAAGCAGTGTTATCTCTTAGTTGCTCCCTCTGAAGTTCAAACTGGTCTCTTCTGAGTGCAGTGAGCATAAGACTCACCTAGGGCACATGTTAAAAGGGCTTTCTAGGCTCCAGGTTGTTTGCGTGGTTGGATCAGGGCTCTGGAATCTACACTTTAACCCACATACCTGGTGACTGACAGGGTAGCTGGAGAATCACACTTTGAAAAACACTGTCGTGGGGGGATTTCTGTTAATATCGGAGTGACTTCCCTTTGCTGGCCTGCTCGTTTTTCCCCCCAGGGAAATGGGTGGCCATTATTAAAAGGACAGTTTCTCCTGTTGTGTTGTTTTAACTAAGGAAACAAGGAAGTCGGCCCACCGTGAGGGAACGTGACTGCTTGGCTGTGGGTGGTGATATTTTTGCCCGTCTCCTGGGAAGGCATGTGCACTCTTGGAGATGGCGACTGGCAGGAAGATCAGGCCTGAGTTGTCACCCTGCTTGGGTGAGAGTGAGGATGTCAGCTGGTCCAGGTGAAGAAATGGAGTTGATTACGGAGAGCTCAGGGAAGAGGGACTGAGGGTAGCCTGGATTTAGGTAACTGAATGGAGGTATCTAGAACAAAGCTAACATATTCAAATTTGGTTTTTATTTAATTAGCTGTGCACCATGGGGCAAGTTAATACATTCTCTGAGTTCCAGATCCCTCATCTGAAAATGGGGGGGAAATGGCATTTATGTGTCAGACTCACTGTAAAGATTAGAGACGAGTGTGTAAAGCACCTGACCCAGACCCTGTCCACTTACCGACACTTGGTGAGTGGCCAGTCATCATCGATGGGCAGAAATGGGATCTACGTGCAGCCATTTCTTGAGTACTTATTAGACTAGGGCCCTGGAGTGGTCTAGAAACCTCTTGAAGAGACAGGGTGAGTGTATGCACACACATGCATCCATTTAGGGGGTGGAAGATCCCATTTAACTCGGAATCTCTGAGGATGGGTTGTTTACTGAAGAAGGAGGCCCAGGGACGATGACCCTGAGCCTTGCACCCTGGGGGTAGCCCTTTGGGGGAGAGGCAGCGTTGTAGAACTCCCAGCAAGCTGTCAGTGGATGCAGTGAAGGATTCCTGAGACGAGAGACAGCTTCCTCTCTACCTCTGACCTTGTTCCTTATACAGAGGGCCTGTGTCGCCCCTGCTTTTCAGTCCTGTTCCTATGGGGAAAAGCTGACAAAATGGAAGGGAGAAGCCACAGGACTAAGGAAAGGAAGGGAGGCTTTAACTTGGAAGCAGGCTAATTAGAAAAATGAGTTTGGCAGAGACCTTCATTATCGAGTACTTGCTCATGCTGTATCCTCTCAACCGCTGTGAGCAGCTAGCTCTCCCCTGAGCCTGCACCCCCAAGCCCTGAGGCCGGGGCAGTAATGCTGGTGTCTTCTAAATGAGAACCCGCAGGTTGGGAGACCCATTTCTGCCTTGTCTACGTCTTTCTAATTTTTTTTATTGTGGTAAAATACACCTAACGTAAGATTTATCACCAGTGACTTTGACACATTCACAGTTTTGTGCAACCGCCACCAATATCTAGTTCTAAAACATTTTCACCCCAAAAAGGAAACCCTGTATCCATCCCTCTCCCCCACAGCCCCTGGTAACCACTAACCTGCTTTCCATGTCTATGGGTTTTCCTATTCTGGACATTTTATATAAATGGAATCATCCAATATTTGCCCTTTTGTGTCTAGCTTATTTCACATGGCATGATTTCAGGGAACCTCCATGTTGTAGCATGTACCAGTACTTCATCCCTTTTGACGGCTGAATGTTTTTTGTGTGTGTTTACCCACTCATTGGCTATTGTGGATAATGCTAGAACATGGGTGCACAAGCGTGGGAGCACTATTTTCGCTTCTCTTGGCTCTGTACCCAGTTGTCTCCACATCTTTTGACTCCTGACTTGTTTCAGTCCAGCCAACAGGAATAACTTCTTCCTGGGGGAGGGGATAGGCAAGGAGACCGGCTGCCTTGGGGGATGGAGGCAAAGCACAGTCAGATGGGAGGCATACTGGGGGCAAATGGCCATACAGGAGGGGGATGTAGACACCACCTTTGCCACGTTGTCCAAATTAGGAAATTGTCCTGGATGCCCTCCTCCCCTCTTTCAGTACCCCTTGGCCCTTCCTGGCTTTATATCAAAGGGGCCTGCAGGCATATTCTACAGTGTTCACACTGGTGGGCTCTGCATTTCCCATGTGGGGAGACCTCAAAGAGGTAGCAGGAATGGTACCTCTTCAGTCATCCGTGTCCCCAAATGTAAACCAGAGCCTCTCCTGGCCCTATGGGGTTATTTAGATAAATCAACATCAACCAGAGCCATTCTAAATAGAAAAGCACCATGCGATTGTGGAGATGGGATAGGTGTCGTTGTTACTTCCCAGGTGGGCACAGAGGGTCAGCAGGATCAGTCCACCTGCTCAACCAGTGCAGCTCAGGAGAGTTCTCCTCACCACCAGCCTTTTCACCAGAGCATAGTAGTCAGCGTCTTAACGTGTTAACCACCCCAGCTGGCCCATGTTCGCCTTTTCAGTCAGGTCATCTTGGAAACAGAAACCTGGGAGGAGTGACCCTTCATGGTGACATTTTAGACGCAGTGATGGTGAGGTTGGGGTGAACTTCATGCCACAGCAGGCAGAGGCTGCTTGACGCCTGGTCTCATCTGGCATCTAGACAGCCCCACTCCCACCAGAAACCCCCATGCGTGGAGCATCGTTGGGGACAGGCACTCCCCTAGAGCCCACTTTTTCATTGCTAATCATAGTGTCTTCCAGAGTTGGGCCAGTATCTTCCTCGTTTTGTACATGCAGAAGTAGATGCAGCCAGTGGTGGCATCTCCCTGGGTCACAGGCTACTCGGGCTAAGGCAGGATGGAGCCCCAGGCTAGAGGGGTGCACTGTGCTCCTGGGCCCCCTTCACCTCTGCAGCCTCTTCTGGCCTTATTAGTCTCTGACCCTTGCTTAATACCCTTTCACAATTTCCCATTCTCTCCCAGGTAATTTGGACAAGCCCCAGTCCAGTCTTCCCATTCCATATGCTATGACTCAAGCAGAAGCAACCTGACTCTAAAATACTTATTTCTTCAGTCAAGCCCCAATATGCCTATTTCTACATTGCTCCCATCCCTACACAGCCAAAATGTGTATCTCCTGTATGTGGACTATTTCACACACACTCATACACACTCACACACTGTACTCATCATCAGGCCATTCGTCTCGCATATATTTTGACCATCTTCCAATCTGGGAGAGGCCCAGGTGAGCACACTCAGGTGTGTGCTTGGGCTCCATGGACACACTGTGCTGGTGAGAAGACCACCTGCCCTGGCTGCTCTTCATTCCCTAGCACTGGGCAGTACAGAAGCCAGTCTCTGCTGCTGAATCCAAGAGGCACTGCAGGTTAACAGGCATGGGAGATGGAAGTGTTCAGGGCATCAGGAAAGGTTTTTTTATTAAATTGTGAAACTTTATAATGAAATACACACAGAGGCCCTGGGGAAGCCGTGTTTCCTCGAAGTCCCTGGAGTGGCGAGGACTGAGCCAATCCCACCGAGGGCAGGCAGGGCTCCACAGGACACAGGAGCACAAGGCTTTGCAGTGTGCAGAAAGCTGAGCTGTCTGGGAGCCGTGGCTCTGCGGCTCACTTTCAAGCTGTTATCTTAGCCGGGGGCATCAGCGCCTCCCCCTGCAGGAGGGGCAGCAGCCCTGGGAGTGGTTTCCTGGGGGGAACAGAGGCCAAAGTCCAGCTCTGTTAACTGACTGGCAATCTAGGAGAACCCATCCTTTAGGGCACAGGTGGCAAACACAAGGTCCCCAGGCTGAATCCAGCCCTCCACCTTGTTTTATCTGGCCCTCTTCCTTGTTTCTAAGTGGCAGCAGCACCAAGGTCCTTGCCCCTAGTTGAGTAATTACATTTATACAGCTCTAAAATTGCATTCGACCCTTTGAAAGGCAACTGTGAGGCTGATGTGGCCCCTGGTGAAAATGACTTTGACACCCCTACTCTAGGGGATCCTGTCTCTTCTGCAGGGACTCTGAGGAAGCAAGTGTTTCTCACACCTTATGCCCTGACAACTGCCAAAGTCACTCAAGTGTGGCCTATGACCTCCCTTAGGGAGGCCTGTGGGCTACACACCCCACAACATCGAGCTATTCCAGGGGGACTTCATCTGCCTCTGACTTCCTGGTTGAAATGAGTTGAAAAAAGGCCAAACATGTGTGACCTTTTCTTTCCTCCTCAACAGAAGCCTGGAATGGTCCCCCCTCCGCCCGGAGAGGAAAGCCAGACCGTCATCCTTCCGCCGGGCTGGCAAAGCTACTTGTCTCCTCAGGGCCGGCGTTACTATGTCAACACAACCACCAATGGTGAGTCCCGCTCTGAGAAGCATACTGCACCACCCCCGGGCTTCTGTCTCTCTGAAGGGGCAGGTTTTCTCCTCCATCCTCTACCTCTTAGCTTTTAAAGACTTTTTCTTCAGAAATCTACTCCAAATGCTGCTTTTCCCACAGTGCTAGGTGGTAGGGATCTGAGCCTTGACTAGGAAACCTGCCCTTCAAGGTTGGCAACATCCTCAGACCTGTACAGCTACTCAGGTGTGGTTGTTGAACTCAACTTCATGTTGTGGAAGGATTTTCTGGATTGTTTTCTGGATTGGGATCGTGAAAGGTTCTGTGGTCAGCAGCTAGTTTAAGTCAAGTTGAACAGGTTTAGCTACTGTGTGCTGTCTTGGGATTTTAAATGTACTAAATGACAGGGAAGCCCTGACAGGTGTGGCTCAGCTGGCTGGGCATCGTCCCACAAAGCATCGCTGGTTTGATTCCCTGTCAGAGCACATGCATGGGTTGCAGGTTTGGTCTCCAGTTGGAGCACGTATGAGAGGCAGCTGATTGATGTTTCTCTCACACATCGATGTTCCTTTCCCTCTCTTTCTCTCTCCCTTCCCCTCTCTCTAAAAAATAAATAAAATCTTCCAATGATACAGAAGTTCCTAAACAGGCATTGCAAGTGTGAAGTCTTCCCAACTTTACAGCATCTTTCTCTTGCCTGAATTTTTTCACTGGCTGGTGTTTCTTGGAATGTTCTTTGGGAAATGCTGGGGCTACTTATGGATTTGGTGTTTTAATGGAAAACACAGGTTCCATGTGGATTTCTGAACTGGGTTCAGACTGTACCTCTGTGCCCCCAGTTATCACAGAGTTCCTGGGCCTTCACCACAACGACCCCGGGATCCCGGGTGCTGGCTACAGGGTGAAGGAGGTGTAGCAGGTCACTACAGCACAGTGGGCAGAGGAGTGTCCCAGACCCGTGCCGGGTAGGGCAGAACAAAACCAGCTAATGGCTTGGCTCTTGACCTCCATGACTCCCTGAGGAAACTGTCACGACCGATCAAAGGTTAGAAACATGAAAGTTAGACGTAGAAGAAATCAGAGATGTGTGTGCCAAGACGGAACCTGAAATCTACCTGTTGGCTCAGTCTTGGCTTCTCACCTTCCTTGTCTTATGGACACCTTGCCCCGGCCAGCTGCACCATTAATGTGATAGATGATTACAAACCTGCCCTTGGTGACCTGGTGACAGAGCCAGCTGCTACGAGAGGGAGCAACAGAGACAGCAGCTGGCAGCTGCCACTCGGGTGGCAAGTTTGTTCATATCCCCTGGCAACCTGGCCTTCCGTGAGCTTGAGAGGGGTGTTCATAGTAACCAGGGTTTCTAGGAAAAGGGAAGTAGAACTATTTCTGACCATTCTAATCTTGAGCTTCCTCAAAACAAATATATGAGCAGCTTTGCACTGTTATCAGACTTTGAAGTTTCAGAAGAAAGTGTTTATGTGCAGTTCCCCAAAAAGCAGAAATTGGACCACATGATCCTGAGATCATCAAGAATTTAGATCCCTGCTATGGGTAAAAGTGGCTTTCTAAAATCACCGTGTGTGTGTGTGTGTGTGTGTGTGTGTGTGTGTGTTAAATTAGAGAACAACATATTCTCAGTAAAAAATTCAGTGACTACAGAAGTATTTAAAAGTAAAATCCCTGGTCCAATACCCTAGAACTACTTACCAGACATATTCTCCCAGATATTCTTATTTTCTCATCTTTTAAACACATGTACAGTTATTCTTTCTAATAAACTGGGAAATGCTCTCCATGTTGTTTTATGAATTGCTTTGACAATGTACTCCGGACATCTCTGTGTACTTATACATTCCAGCCTAACTCATTTTTAAAGACAGCTGTGTACTAGTCCATTGCTAGTGTATGATGCCATTAGTTTACCCAGCTCCTCTTTATGAAAGTCCCCTTCATTTAAGTCCCATGTTGCATTAACTGACAGCAGGTGGCAGCTTTTCTCTGAGGCCCAAGTTTTCGCATGTGCCGCTGGGTCAGGGCGTTTTATGGACCCTGCCATACAGCAATGTCAAGAGACATATCCAGGCTGGAGCTCAGCAGATTCTTTTGTTAAAGGAGCGGGGGGCCCTTGAGACTCAGCTCTGCCACTGCCATGTGAAAGCAGCCACGGACAAGACATAAACCAATGGGCACAGCTCTGTTTCAATAAAGCTTTTTTTATGGGTACTGACATGTGAATTTCAGATGACTTTTGCATGTCATGAAATGGTCTTTTTCAGCCATTTAAAAATGTGAAAGATGGTGTTAGTTTAGGAGTTCACAGGCTGTGTGATAGACAGTGGAGGGCGAGGCTGGGGTTGGGGTTGGTCCACAGGCCGTGTTGCTGGCCAGCCTCTGCTCTAGTCTCTCTGTCCTCTGCAGCAGGACTGGCCTACTTCCCCTTTCCCACCTTCTCTGATGTGCTCACAGTGACCCTGGCTCCTTGGTCTTGCATCCTAGACCCATGCCAGTTTTATTCATTCACTGTTTAATTCATTCTTTGTTTGATTGAATTCTTCATTCAACAGACACTTAGTGAGCCTCAAACATGTTCCAGGCAGAGTGTTGAATGCTGGGGATATAATAATAAAGCAGAATCAGTCCCTGCCCTCAAAGGGCTTCTTCTTATAGAGGAAATAGAATTTAAATGAATACATATTTTATTACAATTCTGAGCGGGGCTGTGAAGGAAAAGCCCAGGGTGTTTTGAAAGCAAGTTCAGTTGAGGCCCTGGGAGCTCAGGGGAGGCATCCTAGAGGAGGAGCTGCCTTCAGCTTAGGTCGGCAGGAAGGGGTTGCCAGTGGGAATTGCCTTCCTCCTAGCAAAGAGTTAGTCATGTTTGGAGCAGTTGTATAGACCTTGAACATCATGTTGAGGATTTTGCCCCTTCATCTAAGGGAATGGGAAGCCTGGCTGTCTCTCTGGGTCTTCTCTGGAATCCTTACTTAGACTGGTTTTGCTTGGTTGCTGGACTGATTTTTAAGGTTTTGAACCTTACTGCCTTTTGTCAGGAAAGTACCTCTTAGAACAGCCACTTGTTCTTAACACACCCACCTTTATCTGACCTCCTGATGTTTGACTTTGTGTCTCCTCACAACTGAGTCTACCGTGTCTACTCTTCTGCTCCAGCTCTTGGATCTCTCCTGCCAGTGAGTCAGGCCAGAGCCGTGTACCACTGCCCAGGAAGCAGAGGCCACCAGTGTCCTGCTAAAGCCACCACGGACCACTCCTCTCTTCTTCTTGTCTGTCCACCTTCCCCCCCAAATACTTCATCTCCCTTAATCCCTAATCACTTCATTCGTAGAGGGTGCCTGGACACAACAGGTATTCTGTCCTCGTTTTTATAACACCTACAAATACAACTGGTTTAAAGCACAACTTACCTTTCTGTTACCATGTTCAGGCTAATCTGCTTATGTTCAAATCCACTTAGGACTTTATGCAGGGGAATTGTCACAGTGCTCAGCTAGGCTGTGAGGACATAGATTCCTCAGAGAGGCCAGCTCTGCCTCCAAAGACCACAATTCTAATGGGGTCAGAGAAACAGAGAAACCAATAAGCATTGAAGGTATTTGCATAGAAATTTAGGGCTTCAGGGGAGAGTGTCGTCAACTTTATCCAGGTATCAAACAAGTCTTCAAAGAGGGGGAGCTTGACTCAGGGGTTCCCTGCTGAGGTCATTGCATGAGCCAAGACAGGGTAATAAGGCAAGGTTGACATATTTGGTAAGGAACCAAGAAGTGAGAGAGAGGGTCAAGGGCCCGACCCATGAAAGACCCCCCGATGCACCTTGAGGAGTTGGGACTTTGCCCTGTGGGCAGTAGAAAGCCATGGCGGCATCCAGAGTGTGGGATGACACCTCAGAACAGTGTGGCAAGGTCGCTTGCACAGCATAGTGAAGGGTTTCAAAAGAGCAATCTTGGAGCCTGGCAGGCAACATAAGAGCAGTCATGAGGTCAACTCCACGTCTACAGCTGCAGCTTCAGAGCAGGAGGTACACTCTGTCAGACAGGATGTTTCAAGTCAGAGAAAGAAGAGCTCTCCAGTTCTTCTGCCTTTTCTGCCTTGTGTGCTGCAGCCATGCAATGAAAACGGGGGACTCAGGGAGGAACAGGTTTGGAAGAAAGAAGATGAATCTACGTAGAGTGTATGGATCCTTGGGGGACATTCCAGGAGAGATGGCTAGCATATGTTTGGAGGGATGGTGCTATGACTCAGGGAACATCTGGGCTGGAGGTGGGAGTCTGGGGCATTCTGTGGATGCACAGCTTGACAAGCAGAGAGTAGAGTGGATTTCATCCCTATCTGCCTGCTTGGCCTGACACTGTTGTGTGGTGGCCAACCTGCACAACTACAGGGGGCGACCCAGTGTTTGCATGTCATCATCAGAGAAGTGAAGTCACACAAATGCTGGAGATTATGCAGGACACGCCTCCAGGAGAGCCCTGCCCCACAACTTTTAAGGGAGGGGCAAAGGGGACCGAGAGGATCATCAGAGATACGTGGAATCCAGGAGAAGGCAATGTCAGGACAGACAAGGGAGAAAAGGTTGTCAGCAAGAGACAGTGTGAGAGAGACTGAAGTATAGATCAGATTTATGGTGGGGTGATAGTTTAAATCATTGAGGAAAGCAAGGGTTATTTAATAGTGATAACTAAGAGGGAGTTTCAGTGGGTAAGTTGTATAATAATGTTCTTGTTTTCAGTAACACCATCAAAGCATGCTTTTTATGAGACTTTGGGAAGTCCCCATCTGCCCTTATCTCTCCATGTCTGTGGTTCTCCAGAGCGTTTCACCATGCAGGGTGGCCCTGAGCTCAGGCTCCAGAGACCCTAGGTAGGGCTTCTGCTATCGGGAAATTGCTTGTCCTGTACTATTTGAGAAAATGCTTTATTCTCACTAAAGTTGACTCTATTGCCAAAAATTGGGATTGTGTTTAGTTTCTGGATAGTGAGCTGTTATCAATAACCTGCCCTGTC